TATTTTGTTTTTTATGATTATGATGTCAAGGCCAGTTTTCGTGCACCTTGACTTAACTGAGTTCTGAACCTGAGACCTCAGGGATTCTGAGCTACTTCAATAATGGCTAGGACACACCCATAGATGCTAAATTATTTTTCTAAAACCTTAAAGACCGTATGCTTGAATCCCGTTTGGCCATAAATTTTCCAAATAATATTTGGAAAAAATTTGGCAAATATCCCAAATTTTCAAATACTAGTTTTTTTTAGTATTTGGACCAAATCTCATTATTTGGGATATTTTAAAAATTTAAACTTTACCCCAATCTTTTATCTTTTACAAAAACACCTTCTCTAGTAGTTGCTTGCGTTGTATTACATAATTTTTTACGTGAATACCAAAATAGTGATGAAATATTTAGTGAATATTAAATAATGATATGATTATTGATGAAAATTATTAAAAATTGGCTCTAGTTAACAAAGTCATGTGCTTTGTCTACTTCACGATGTATGAAAATTTTTTTGTTGCACTCACTCCAAATTACCACATTACTTTAGTGTCATGGACACTATTTGTTGTTGTTGTAACGAACATCCAATTGACTCGTAATACAAACTTTTAGTTAGTTTTGATAGTTTTTAAAACTTGTGTGTATAAATCATATTTTTCTAAAAAGGTGAAATATATTTCCCAAATCCTATGGCCAAACACATGGTGAATTTTCACTCAAATAATATTTGCCAATAATATATGAAAATCTATAGCCAAACGCTAGCTAAATTATATAAATTGAGACGGATAGGAGTAATATATACATTATTTTTGTAGGTATAAATCCTTTGAAATTTTCACCAAACTCGATTATTTGAGATTATGGGAGAATGCAATGTAATAGCATCCTTCAATTTTTCTAATGAGGGAGCTAGTTTTCTCAATTCTCATGCACGTGTGTATACAGTCCAAAAGCCAAGAAAATTGCTATATTTTCAAACTTCAACTTCTCGAACGTCTTTGAAGCCTTAATATTAGGAGTTTCTTGAGTCCCACTTGTGACATTTGACTCAAAAACAAAAAACTACTATACTCAAATACTCATTCATCATAACAAGTATGGACCTTTTAATGTATTTTTCTTATAGCGGTGTTCAAGACAGCTTAATTTACGTACATTTTAATTATTTCATTGGGTAACGTCACTTTATAAAAATATACGTAAGAGAAATAGAATAACTTTGTCCGTCAAGGTTTTACCAAATCATCTAGGCTGAAATTTGGACCTGAAACATTATGCTTCTAAGGGCAAAAGCTAGAATTGTTGAAATTACACTAATTGCTATTAAAATGAATTGATCTTTAATTTTTATCCGTTAAGATGATCTAGTCTTTAATTTTTGGCTCTAACTTTTTTAAAAGAGTCGTGCGGAGCATAACTTGAGAAATATTATGAAGGGCATGAGTTAACGACCAACACAACAAAATAAGTGTCAATGACCCGCTTAAGTGTCAGCAAAACTCTTTAACGGTTTAGATTCAAACTTTGTATTTGTCCTTCAAAATCCATTAAATATGTACAAATTATTAATTTAGAATTCAATAACTTAAGATTCCAAAACTCATAAGCTTCAAATCCTGGTACCGACTCTATCTAGATAGATCATTGATCAAATAGGCTAGCTACCCTTGGGTGCTGACCTTTTTTGTTATAATTTCCACATTGGCTGTTCACTTCACAGGATTTCTGGATTCTAGAAGCACTCTACCATTTTACTAATACTATATTTTTGAAGTTTGAGCTGGATTTTCCAACATTTATGCTTCCTTTCAGAAACAAATGTTTCTATCTTTGACTAGATAAACTTCATGCACATTAACTCCATCTCTCATTAAAAACTTCCTTACAACCACAAGTCTTATTATTGGCTGAATGCATGGGTACTTCTTCAAGTCCAAAAGACTCTTCAATTCTTTATAGTCCACTTTCATCTCCTAATGTTGGTGCTTTGCTTAAAATCAAGATCATTTCATGGTAACAACTATGTTTAATTCCACATTTCAACTTTTTAGTTATGTTTTTTTTGTGTGTATTGTTTTGACTTTAACTTATCAAGAAATCCTACTTCACGAGTAAAATTCACTAATTTCCCACTAAAAACTGTTCAATAACTATTTCCGCAGATATTTTGATTGAACTTATGAGAAAAGAAAAAATTAGAAAGTTTCCCACTATTTCACTATGAATCTCTTTCCACCATGTATTTCCTAATGAGTTGGTTCGGTGGAAAATGTTATGGGAAAATCGTCTTTAATAGCACAAATTTCCCACTGATTCACGGTGGGAAAAAACTTTATTTCTAGTAGTGCATGTTTGATATGCTTTACTTATCAGAAACAGTTATCTCTACCCTTATACGATAAGGGTAATACACTCTGTCCTCCCCAGTTTGAGATTCCACTAGCTATGTTGTTTAAACTTATCAAGAAATGTTCTTTCAGGAGTCAAGAAACTGGTTTACCTGTCACAATTCGAGTTCGGATAGCTGACAGAACCTTTAACTTGCATAAGGTGAGATCTCCCAACTCAACTAGCATGGAGCTCTACAGTTGAGCACCATTTTTCAATATTATGATATTTTCAATTAGCTCACTTACTTGGTTTTTGATGTTGCAGCACCCCTTGTTCTCGAAAAGCGGATACTTCAGAAGACAACTGAATGAATCAAATGAGGCTGAATTACCAAGTAACTTCCCTGGAGGAGCAGAGACTTTCGAAATGATGGCACTCTTCATCTATGGATCCTCCACGTTAGTTGACCCTTTCAATGTTGCAGCGCTAAGATGTGCAGCAGAGTACCTTGAAATGACAGAAGAGTACATCTCTGGCAATCTTTGTGAGCGTTTCGACATATATTTGAACCAGGTTGTGCTGCAAAGCTGGGATGATACTCTGATAGTACTCCAAAAATGCCAAATGTTGCTTCCTTTGGCTGAGGAGCTGCTGATTGTTAGCCGTTGCATCGAGTCACTTGCCTTCATGGCCTGCATGGAAATTCTTGATCCTGAAAGGAGAAGAGACCATCCAGTTGTTACATTAGACGCCTTAGCTAGTCAGCCTTGGAGCAATGAGACAGTTAAGGCTATTCTCAGCCAAGATTTGTGGATTAAAGATCTCATCGCTCTGCCATTTCCATTCTTCAAGAGGATAATGTCATCTCTGAGAAGACAAGGGATGAAGGAAAAATATGTCAGCCCCATAGTTCTTTTCTATGCAAACAAATGGGTACTTTCTAGAAAAACTCACCAGTATTGGCAGGACGCTAGGAAGGATGGGAAAGCTGACAATGACGTTGAGGATGATGATGATGATGATACTAATGAAAAGGTTTCCAAGATTCTTCAAGGGATTCTTGATTTGCTCCCTATGGGAGAGAAAGCGAGTAAAGTAATCCCCGTTGGATTTTATTTCTCTTTGCTTTCAAGATCACTTCAACTTGGTTTAACAAGTGAAAGTAGGGAAAAGCTGCAAGATCAGATTGCGTCCCTACTGTACTTGGCTCGAATGGAAGATTTCCTCCTTCCGGATAGCAGCAATGACTCCATATCCTCCTGCATTGAGTTAACAGTAATGAAGAGCATATTTTCAAAATATGTATCCTTCATGGAGTTAACTCATACACCTTCACCAAGAAACTACATTGTCGCTGAACTTTGGGATATATATCTAACCAAGATAGCCACTGATCCAGAATGGAGTTCGAAAAGATTCTTAGAGCTCATTGAAACTGTTCCATTGTCCAGCAGGCAAACGCACGATCATCTCTACAGAGCTTTAAGCACTTTTCTCATGGTAAGTCTTCTATATAATAGAAATTGAAACATTTCTGTATGATTCAATCAAAGCACACCTCTAAAGTGAAAATGCATAGAGCTGTTGATTACTGTTGAAATTTCTTTCCTCAATAAAGATAAAATTTCCATTTTATCCAGGCACATCCAGATATGTCACAAGAAGAGAAAGGATCGGTGTGCAAATACCTCAATTGCCAGAAACTTTCGCAAGAAATGTGCATTGAAGCAGTTCAAAATGAATTGATGCCGTTGAGACTTATTGTCCAGGCGCTGTTTGTTCAGCAACTAAATACACAGCAAGCTTTTAAAGAATGTTCAGACTCGTTTCGATATGCTCAATGTGGAGAGTACTCTGGAAGCCTCTCAAGTACAATATATCCAAATTCCAAAAGCCAGAATTTGGTTGAGAGTCCATATATGGAGGGAAGTGAAGGAGGCAGCAAAACACTAAGCTTCTTGTTAAAAGATTCAGCAATGCAAAGGTCCGAATTCTCAAGGAAGGAATATGAATCCACGAGCTTCAGAATCCAAAACCTTGAAGAAGAATTGATGTCCTTGAAGAAAACGCTTCAACTGCAGCACATATCTAAGCAAACAGAAACCATCTCCAAGAAAGTTGAACCAGTTTCTGCAAATTTTCAAAGCTTGAAACCATATGGACTAGAGGGAAGAACGCCAAGCAATAAGAGTGTTGGCCAAGTGACTAGTTGCATTGGTTCTGTGAATTTCTCTTCCCAAAAACGATATGCTAATAGGTTACTTAAGATTTTCCGGAGGATATCTTTGTTTGGCAGAGGAAAATCAAGAAAAAAGCAAGGTGGAAATGGCCTTAGGCCAAAGATATTGAACTTTTAAACTACAATGACATTGCTGATCAAGGACCACAAAATATGAGAGTATATTATTTACCAAATTTTGATGTAAGAAAGTTCATGTAAATAGCAAGGGAATCAATAAGAACATGTCAGTGGACATTGATATTATTATAATGAATCATAAGCTGTTGTACTTTGTAGAACATATGCAATAGCCAAACTGTTTTTACAATGCCTGCATTTGCTTAGATATACCACAGAATGACATATTTTGCTCCACAAAAGGAGCCTCTTTTCCACTTCTGCATTGGACTCAAATCTCAGAGAGCAGTGGCTGACTATGGCCATAATTACATTCAAGCAAATAATCAACTCACCGATAAAGAATGTCTTTGACCCTCGAAATGCTTCAGATAAGAGTTGGAAGTAGCAACTCAATCACCTCATTGATCAAGAATGCAAGGGAATAGGAATACTCTCAATCACCACACTGATCAAGAATGCAAGGGAATAGGAATACTCTTAAGTCCATGCTAAGAATAAGGGCTTGTCATAACAAGACATTTTTATATACACATTTAGATACTGCGAGGAGCCTATAAGTCTTTCACTGAAAAGGAAAAACTACAAGTCAACAACAACATACCTAGTGTATTCACACATGTGAGTTCTGGGGAGAGTACCTTAGCTTACCCCTACCTCCTGGAAATAGAGAGGTTGTTTCCAAAAGACTCTTGGCTCACGTATCACATAAATGGAGTTTGAAGAAGACAATATAGAGGTAAACCCACTGAAAAGGAAAGCGTCCAATAATAAGTTAAGCCTCTATAATCTATATATCAATCAGAAAAGTGAAACAAATCCAAGACTCAAGTATGTTCTTTATTTGATTAATAATTGGTTTAATATCAAAGCAAAGTCAAGGTATAGAAGTCCTAAAAGCGCAAGGGAGGTCCTATTTGTACATACTAGAGCACGAAATAGATCCAGTGTTTCATCAGTGTAATCCATTTTCTCACATCCAAGCACAACCCTCTCTAATAAAATCACCACTGCATCACAGTATATCTGGTATCTTCATTTGACTAAATCATCATGTTTCTGCTTACACAGTGCAAAAAGACAAGAAAATTAGGTATCCAAAGACAGCTGAGGGATTACTTTTAACATACAAATTAACATTGACCAAGAATCCGCTTCATATATCAGATCATGAAAAATTATACTGTAAGTTGTGTTTGGCTTTGTTAAATTCATAAGATCCTAGATTATTAGTATTGCTCTAAATAAAGTATGCTAATGTGGATCAAGCGTACAACTCTAAAAACAAAAAGCAGCTACAGCATCAACAAATCTACTTAATCCTAAACAAATTGGAGCCACTATATGAATCAGTCAATAAGCAATATCCTTTCTGCTCAATTTGGTCTGTGTTATTCCAATAATCAACTGTCACCGTCTTATGTTCATAAGGAGTTAGGTTTTGAATTTCAGTTTTACACAGAGGACATGGAATATAAATTTAAAAAAGAAAGAAGACTGTTTCTTCTTCAACAAGCTCTATCAGAAAAAACCTATCTAGTTTCACAAGGTAAGAGTAAGGATATGTACACACAGCCCTACCCATATGCCACCTGTAGGATTACAATTGGCATGTAATATGTTGCTGTAAGAAGAAATTGATTTCATTTTCCTTAATTTCTTCCTGTTCACTCTACTCAGACCCAAAAAAGGAAAACTTGGAAACAGTTCTTTTGCTTTCCTTCCTCTAATAACTAAGGAGAAAAGATTCTTAATTCTGTTAATATAATGGTTTGTAGTATAATCATCTTTTACATAAACATTTGCATCCTTTCTCTTTCGCTACTTGCCAAAATAGAAATTCAAATAATCACCAAAAACACTGGTATTGCAGCATGAATATAACAGGGATCTATAAACATGAAACACTCCACACTTCCAAGGATATCGTTTAGAAGATTAAATATAGCAAAATACATTAAAACAATACAGTGTAATAAAGAAGGTATACATATCATTCATGCAGACATTCACTAGACCTAACATGGCCATAACTGAGACAATGGTTTCCCTTTGTGGCACGTAATCATACAGTCAAGTACAACTTCTCTGAGCTTCTTCTCTACATCTTCAATCGAAAGGGTTGCATCGATAACCTGCAATAAATCAAGGAAACAACATCAACAAGGCAAAGCTATCACCAAGGCTTTGGATAAGAAAAACTGATCAGCCTGTTATTTGTTCATGGAAAAAGTGAATTTGTGTATAAAGATCAAATCAGAATTTGATCACTAGTGTTTCGTCAATGTCAGATTATGTTTCTGTTTAGTCACCATAGACATGCTAATTAAATATCAAAAACATCCCAACTAACTCGGAAAGTACTGCTGAGTCAAAAACCAAATGACAATATTCTACAACTAGTAGGTTATCAGACTAGTTGCTATATTTACTTAAACAGACATTTCTATTTCCGTCGACAAATGGAGAACAAGTCACCTTCCACGAGGAATCACGAAGAGACAAATAAGATCCAGCAACCTTTTTCTGAAACTCAAGCTGCTCATATCTTTCATCTCCATAACCTCCTCTTTCAGCAGCTTTCTAGTTATCATAGAATTGAATCATTAATAAACAGTCATGATAATCTTCCAAATTCAAAAATATAGCTGAAACGGATTAGTCAACAAGACAAGCAATAGGAGAATAAATTCAAGGTAAGACTGGTTTTAAACCTGCATAATATGGAAAGACAGGTAAAAAAGGAACAGCTCATCCTCAATAACAGAGTAGATTGCTCAAGAAATCGACATATATACCAAATACAGGCTTCAAATTAGAAAATTGCATTGAAATATCTCTCTTAACTTAAGACAGGTGAAAAGAACAAAGAAAACTACCTCTGGAGATATGTCGAGATATACAACCAGATCTGGAGCTAACAACCCTATTTCTGGAGCCTACAGTAAAAGATCAGTGTTAAACTTGCTAGGAGATTTTGAAATTGCAACATCAGTGAAGTAAGACATGATTTTACCTTACACCATTCAATATCAAGTCCCTTGGCAGAGGAAAATGCCACCCCAGAATAAGAATAGCGGTCAACGATGAGAGTCGTTCCACTCTTCAGCTTCTCCTCCATTAATGATCTGTAGTTTTTCAACAGAAATTAATAATTTGCAGGTACACCAGGCTAAATACATGTTAAATTCTACAATGATCATGAGTCAACTCACTGAATATTTTCAGATATACTATTCGACCTCGAATGAAAAAATGTAAGTAAAACTTTTCAGTTAAATAACAATGGTATTTAAAAGTGGGAATTCAACTATTGCCAAAAACTTTTCTATTTTCATCATTGCCTATGCTTGAGAACAAACTACAAAGGAAATAGAAAATTAGAAAAGCATGCATATAAACATTTGACTATTCATTTTAGTGAGAACTTTCAAGCATGATACCTGAAAGACAAATGTTGAATTAACTGAGGGGGGAGAAAAAGCATTTGCACAGCCTAACAAGCTCTTTAAACTTCTTTTATAAGACACTGCTCTAAATTGAAGACCACAATTTTTTAAGCTTTCTGCTATTCAGATTGACGAGCTAAATGGTCTTCATATATTCCAGGCAAATGACAATCATAGGCAGACAACTGTTCAAGAATTCTTCAACCTGGTAAAAGTAGGAAGTCTATACCACTTAATTCTTTTTACATCCATTATACAAGGTTATTTTCATTTTCTGGTCCACAAAGGCAAAGTCTTATTTATCAATTTGAAAGTAGCGGAAGAGAAAATACTGCGTGCCACTAGCCCTCTGTTACAAGACGGGTAGTTGGCGGCTCACAAGCAACATATCAGGGATTCCTCAGTTACTAAAAGAAAGTCCCAGCGTTCATTTTTTAATTTAAAAAAGGCCCAGCATTCAAACCATCAGTTCAGATGGATAGCCAACATATCAATTTGGAGGATATGTGACTACTGGCTAACCATTTGATTGATTTGATTAATAAGCTAACCAATTTCATCTCCACATATACCTAAAATATGGAAAGGATAGTGACAGATCTCATGCCTAAGGATTTTTTACAGGTGATGGTAGATGGCAAAATCATGGTTGCTCAACTGCATCATTAAAATCATCAAATTTAAGTGTAGAACTATTTGAAACTTGATGGTAAAAATTATTTACCATGTAAATTATAGTTAATACTCCATTATTAAAAAAAAAAATATCATTCTATATACTCAATCATTCTTGGCCAACTATGAATAATAGCAGCATGGCTCACTCTAAATTTATTTCCAAAGTAAAATTTCTGTGCAGTAGACTATCCCAGACTGAACATAAATTGACTAGTTTAATTTATTCACAAAATTTGTGAGTAAAATTTCTACAACGGGGAGTTTATTCTTTATACTATATTTGATTGAGCTTTTAGTATCAGAAGCCATTCAAGAAAACAGAAGGGGGGATTACTTAGGGAAATTAAACAATCTGTAGAACCTAACAAAAGGGTTAAATCTCCTTCATGAAAGAAAGAGCTGCAACAAAAAAGACAAAAGGAGTTCCCCTTTTTGCCGTTGAGAAGATGAAGTTCTTCAGTTTTGGGAAGTTGCAATTTAGAGAGAAAGGAAAAAAGAGCACTTTGTCGGGGAAAGTAAAAAATATAGGAAAGCACATACACAAACAAGAAAGGTAAAAATAAGCATCAGCTAGATGAGGAAAATATGGTTGAGACGAGAATTGATCATAGGCCCAGTAGGATTTTACAACTCTTTGATCCACCATAAAACCAAAGCATCCACTGAGATTTTATTTTCCAGGGTGCTCACTGATCTCTTTTTTGTTATTCAGTAACAGCTATCTATATGTATATATATATAGTCAGGATCGACAGCAGTAGGTGCTCGAGCACCCACATGGACCTACGAGGGTTGTGGGTCTTCCCCTGTTGACAGGAGACATGACCAAGTACAGAATTCTGATCAGACACACTGAGCATCATAATTACACACTACATATGGGCAATGCAAGTAAGACTGTGTGAATTGAACAAACCTCTTTTCCCAACGATTTGCACTGAAGAGAAGATGGATTGCATGGTCATCCAACTGTGATTTGTTTGCAAGATAAGAAGAAATCATTTGCCCAACGCCTGTATTTCTGTCAGGAAATCTCCACGACTCAACTGAATGTCCCTGCTCATCCAAATACTTGTACAGTCTGCCAGATTGCGATGTCTTCCCACAGCGATCCAACCCTTCTAAAACAATTAAAGCACCTCTGGAGCTGCTGCTCTCTTTGTTCTCCATATGAATAAGTCTCGAAGGCTTAAAACGTAACTTCAAATCCAAGCTAGACTTCAATGAAAATAAAGCTGCCCAAGTTCCAAATTTTCTAGGAAAGGTCGAAATTGTCTTTGGTACAAAACTTCTGCTGGAAAACAAAGTTCCCTCCACTTTTAAAGTCCTTCGACTAAAATATTTAACACAGAACACAATTCAATAAAGTAGATCTACATGACATATAGAACAAACTTTACAAGTTAATCCCCATCTAACATATTCTCACCAAACTAAACTCTAAAAATATACTCATTTTATGCACCTCACAGAAAAGACTCATATCCTATTGATCATCCTCTCATTGGCATTTTATCAAGCATAATATGCACATAAATATTTACATCACGGTTATAAAAATTAAAACTTGGAAACCCCAGAGTGAATTTTGAACCCTTAAACCACTAACTCAACCTATTCAAGGGATTCAAAACATATATACCTACCTAAAAATAAAAAAAAAATTAACCTTATACTCACAATATAATTTTTCATCGTGGAATTCAGCTAAACACCCTCCCTCCCCTGGATCTGCCCCTGAACACCCATATCAAGAGAAATCAAAACCTATGTATAGTTTTTGAGTTTTGATACTAAGAAATTCTGCATAAACTTGGCAAATATGTATAATACACAGAGTACAATAATAAATTTATCAATAAATCAAACAAATTTTCATTTTCTATAAAGAGATTCACTATTTCTTTGTAATCGAACAAAATCAGATACACAAATTTCAGTGAAGGGAAACTTACAGTGTTGTGGTGAGTGCGAAATTGCTCATATCACTGAGTACCTAAAAACCTATTTTCCGCGCCTCTTTTGAAAAGTACCATTTTTTTATTTGGCGCCTTGTAGGGTTCTTCGGGTTATTTGCATAAATAACCACTTATGAAGTTTCTATTTAAAACATAACCATTTACTAAACTGTGGCTTAAAGGATTTACTCTATAAAAGCAAGTAATTAAACTTCATATCAATACATTAGTTTGAAGCTTGAATAGTGTTACTAGTCAATTGTAAAGTATTGATCTGAAGTTTAAACTATTACAAATTTGAAACTTTAAAATATTTGTCTAAAATTTAAACTAGAACAAGCTAGTTAGAATTGTATATATATTAGTGAGAATATATACCCTCAAAGTATTGGAAATGGTATAAAATTATCCTCCATCCACCTATTGACTTAAAAATACCCTTCTCACCTATCTATTGGGTCCAAAATACCCTTGCCATCCACCTTTTGGTTCAAAATTGACCACTTATTAACGGTTTTATATTTAAACTATTCAAATATTTTTTTAAATACGTGACGCTCAACTATTTGTTATAATTTAACTTATTAGTACAATTTATAAATCAATTCACTACCCACCCATTACTAATTACACCCCTCCAAATTAATAAATCCGTCACATCATTAATGAAACAATAGAAAAGCTATTGCCAATTTAGTATTTTTAAATATTTGAGGCGAAAATATCTATAGAAGTAAATTATCATACATTCAAGTGTCTAAATGAATATTACCGATAAACTTAAAAGTCTGACTATGTTCGTCTTAATTATTCTTACGTCTCAATTATGTGATGTTACTTCATAGGTAATTTTTTTTCAAAATAAAATATTAAAGGTTCTAAAACAAATCATAAATATTTATAAAATTATATTTTAAAAAAGTGCATGAATTATTTCGAAATGTATTACTTCTTTACCTTTGATCATAAATTTCTAATTCAATCTTGAAAGAGAATCCTATTGAAAGCGTCCTCCTAAATAAGTGGCTCAACCTAAAATTAATTGGGACTTCGATTCGGACTCGAATAACTTTGAATGTCATTTTCAGGAATCTATAATTTCTTCGTGTTTTAGTAGTGTTTATGATGATTTTGATATTATAATTAGATTATTAATTGGGGTGGATTTAGTTAGTAATGAGTGGATAGTTGATTGGTTTATAAATTATATTAATAAATTAAATTATAACCAATATTTGAACGCCAAGTATTTTAAAAAATATTTAAAGAGTTTAATTTTTAAATGATTAAAGAAGTGGTCAATTTTGAACTCAAAGTTGGATGATAAGGGTATTTTGGAGCCAATAGGTGGATGAAAATGGCATTTTGGAGTCAATGGGTGGATGAAGGGTAATTTTGTGCCATTGTCAACGCTTCAAGAGTATTTTAGGCCATTTTCCGTTTTTAATATATAAGTATCTAACAATGTAAGGTGTCTCGTTTTTCCTTGTTTGTAAATTATGTTATTAGAGTATAGTTGTATGAACCTTGTTCATAGTTGTGATGTAAATATCACTTATAAATAATCTAACATGTGCATATGATATTAGATTTAATATACATGATAGATTTATTTCGTTTGCCTCGGACATGATTAATATTGATGCTAATGAACTCCATGGCCTTTGATCCCCTACGTCGATGTGGCATGCGCCCGACCCCCTACCTTGATGCATCGTGCCCCCGACCTCAACGCGTCGTGCCTGGAGCCCCCTCCCTCCACCCAACCCCCTACCTCAATCCCTTAACTCCCTACTTTGACGTATCGTTCTATCTAAGATTGCAAGCATAAAGACTTAAAAGATCAGGAACAAAAAAAAAATATCAAGAAAAATGAATTGAATACGGATAGTCAAAACAAAATATATAAAGAAAAAAACTGCTAGTTTAACATATAGAAAACCAAAAATTGAGATAATATTACCTTTTTAGGATCAGTTTTATGAGATAACAAACCCTTCACTGTGAGCAATTCAAACAGCCAAAAGATAACTCAAAAAAAAGACTAGACTAGAAGAGTGCCTAATATTTATAGAAAACAAATAAAGTTTTATAGGGTTTCAAGTTTCAAACTCAAATAGCTGTAGCAAAGACAATTTGAATTCTAAAAGGACCATTTAAAAAGGAGAGAATGGATAGTAATGAATGGAAGGGAGAGGAGCAACTTTTGATTTAAAATTGGACTCAACTTTTGCGTTGATCCAATTAGAAGCAAAGTTGAAGGTCTTGAGGTGCCGTGCACCGAGGTTTGTAGTTGTTACCTATGGAACTTGAGCTAAGCAAGACGCCTGGATAGTTCATCCTTAGAAGATATAGCATGGTCAGTGTTTGTGGACACCTCGAGTCCATAGTCATCAACCACTTGTTGAATCAAGTTGCCGACATGATCCTCTACAGTCCATAAGAAAGTACTTCCAGCCATAAAACTCTCCATGAATTCAGCTTGAACCTCCATATTCACAAACTGACGCTCGAATGAATCTATCGTCTCCGACATCGATCGGTTCGATTCGGTTTATCGGTTTTCGGTTTTTAAATATACTAACCCAATATCAAATCAATAAGATATTTTTTATCAGGTTTTGATCATTATCGTTTCGATTTTCAGTTTACCCAATAAGAAAATGTCCGTAAAAGTTATATGTCTTCTCACTTCTCTAAATGTTTTGATATAGTGAACCAAGAAAGATAATGAGAAATTGCATCAATAAGAGAAAATATAGTACAAAGGCTATAATTACGTTTTACCACCAAAATATAGTATGGTTTTTTTTATGTTAATCAAATTACAAACCTTTACAAACTTACAAATGCTACAACCTACAATTACACACTAAAATAAAGGCAAAATGGTTTGATGGACCCTTGTATTTGTATCAATTTGTATTATAAACCCTTCTACTTAAGGGTCCAGATGACAAAGGGCTAAGTAGAAGGGTTCAGAATACAAACTGAAGTATAGGGTTCCACCAGACTATTTCGCCAAAACTAAAATAAAACAGTTTAACAAGACTAAAACTAAAACTAAAACTTAAATCAAACAACTACAATTGTGAACCCCTTACTTTAATTTTTAGGTTCTGATATACAGTAAAAACAAGTAAAGCGGCTTAGTGTGAAGTTGGTAGAATACTAATAATTTAATATAGTTATAGTGTTTAATTATATATTAAATTATTTATATTTAATGATTCAGAAATATAAAATAATAAATTATTATCGTCTTATTGGGTTATCGATTTACCCAATAACCGAATAGTAAAAATCGATACCGAACCAATAACCCAATAATTTTTTTATAAGCCCGTTAAAAATTCAATAACCCAGTAACATTTTTTTTTCGGTTCGATTTTTGAACACCCCTAGCAGATTCCTTGTGTTGATAATCATTTGTTCATTGCGCTTGCGGATTACGTAAATTCTAGTGTCGTCCTTGTTACCCTTCTCGATGGCCTTCTTCACCTTAAGTTTCTCAGATTTTTTGTTCTTCTCAGATTTCCATGCTTTGCGTTGGAGGCTTTTCGATGTGAACTTGAGCTCCATGGTCTGATTCATTAATTTTTTTGGCATTTTTCATTTTCTAAGCTTTGGTGATGGAGTTTTCTGATTGTTTTTGGTGATTCTTCTTCTTTAATCGTTCAATCGTCTTTTCAATGTCATGTGAGTTGCACATCTTTGTTTAATTTGACATGTTTTTTTGGTGTCGTTTAGGGCTTTAGGATGAAAGACTTAGATAAAGGATCTTTTTCCATAAGATGCATTTATGAGAGATGTTTTGACCATTTTCTCAAGATTTGCATAATAGAAAGAAAGAAGATTTTCCTAAAAATTAAATTATATGTATAAGGTTTTATAAGATTTGCTTAAGAGATATTACTTAAAAGAAATAAGATTTTCAATTAGTATATGAATACCAAACTAGTAGTTTAGTAAATATCAATTTAACATGAACTTTGATTGACATATAAGAATTAACGACTACAAAAAATTGCTTTGCATATGTTTGTTTAAAGGATGAATATTTATGTAAATAAACGACTGAATTCTATGGCATCATATATAGACAGGATTCTGATATACAATAGTATCAGTATTTCATCTCTATTTAACCTAAACTTAACTATACTATACATCAGACTTTAAATTTGAATCAAACATCAAATAATCATACTTTGGTGTCTCAATCCCAACATGTAATTATCTGGAGCTATCACACAAATTTCTCATAAATTGTTCATTTAGAGTGACCACGTGTAATTTTGCTATCATGACGTAACATTCACATGAAAAGAATGAGAGTCAAGACGCTCATTCCTCGTCACGAGATAAATTATTGCTTAACATTGATAATAACACTTGTCAAGAAAAATAAATTAACCAGATAGATAACACATACAAAAATAACGTCATTGATTGAACATTAACCACGATTTCATGTGTATCAATATTTCATCTTGGAGAACTATATTGAAACAACAAACATTTAATTATTGACGCATGATCTTTATACTCGTTAAGTATCATGATTTAATATTAAATACTAATAACTAATTTAATCAATTATCCGAATATCTTTTATATTTTATTGACCTTATATTATTTATCTCTTCATAGTCAATCAACACTAAAAGATAATTAAGAAGTAAACATGATCATATAGTTTTTTTCTATTCGATACTCGATATTCACATTAAAGCCCGACAAAATTCGAATTCAAGCGTGAAACTTATATTTTTCCTTTTCAAATTTCAACTATTAGACAAATGAAGTGCAATGAGATGAAGTCCATCAACACCATTCATCATGGCACAACATGTGTGATTCTTTGAATTTCAAATAAGTTGTCTAAAATCAATGGCTGATGTTTCTCACAGACAGGACCATAGTATAGACATGCATGTACAAACATTAACATATGAAAATGTGTTGAGGATTTTTTTTCCAGTAAGTATATATAGAATGAAATGGAAGACAAACAATCCCTTCCAAATTTATCAGATCAAAAAATTTCTTTGTTTTTTCCTTTCTTCTTCACTACCACATATTCTCTCTTCTTACCAAAAAAAAAAAAAAGAT